TGCTATGAGTCGGAAATGACTCGACGGCACTTAACAACAACAACAACAACAACATATGTCATCTGATATCCTGACTGCTGCTTCCCTTGGCACTGATCATAGAACCAAGCAAAGGGAAGCCTTTAACAACTTCAAGCTTTTCTCCATTTACCATGAAGCTGCTTATTGGTCCAGTTGTGATGATTTTTGTTTTCTTTATATTGAGGTGTAATCCATACTGCAGATTGTATTCTTTTATTTTTATCAGTAAGTGCTTCAAGTCATCCTCACTCTCAGCAAGCAAAGTTGTGTCGTCAGTGTATCTCAGGTTGTTAATAATTCTTCTTCCAATCCTGATGTCATGTTCTTTTTCTTCATGTAGTCTAGCTTCTCAGATTGTTTGCTTAGCATAGAGATTGAATAAGTATGGTGAAAGGATACAACTGATGCACTCTCTTCTTGATTTTAAACCATGCAGTGTCCCCTTGTTCTGTTTGAACAACAGCCTGCTGGTCTACTTACAGGTTCCTCATGAGTACAATTAAATGTTCTGGAATTTCCATTCATCTCAATGTTATCCACAATTTATTATGATCCACACAATCAAATGCTATTGCACAGTCATTAAAACACAAGTAAACATCATCTCAAGTTATGAGATTTAATTATTTACCTAAGAAAAAAGAGAATAATGAACCCAGTGACCCACTAAATGCTATAGAATAGAATTTTAAATGTGTTTGTACATGCACAAAATAAGCTCAGTGTCTGTGGTACAGAAAGTTCAGGTTATCTGACAATGCTGAAGACCATAGTATCACACTATATGGTACTTGTAATTCTGTCCCTCATTCCTCACTGCCTCTGTCTTCATATCATCTTCCATGAAACTGGACACATGCCTAAACTTTATTAAAGCATCTAGTCTATTCACCCCTGAATATAATATAAGTGTGAGGAGAAAAAAATCCCCTTTCTATCCTACTTGCTTGGAGGGTTTCATTGTAGATGATTTGGATAAATCTAAGTGACTCTGGGTTCCAATGTGTGGCCTGTTTCTGAGGGAATGTTTATTATAGACTACTAAATTCTCAGTGAGGCATGCTTTCAGCAAAGCAAATATAAAAGGACCTAGAGGCAAAGGCAAGTGCTGCCGACACAAAAATAAAGGATTTACTGCAAAATCACATATTCAAACAATTCAGAAGTAATCGAGTCATATCAGACCTGAATCAAAATTGGTTGTATTAACAATCTGTTTTGCAAATAAAAGAGATACTATCTGAAAATTCTTAATTAAAGTTGAATTTTAAAATTACACAAATATCAATAATTCATTTTTAGTTTTCCTTGTTTCCATCTGAATTTTTAATATTTTAAATGCTTTTAAAAAAAAGAAAATTCTACTCAGGCCAATCCTATTTATCTTCTGAGTTCAAGAGGACCCTTTGGAGGTTTCTTCCTCATTCTATCATACCCTGTGAGGAAGCACAGATTAATCACATTTAGATGTAATAATTGGGCTCATTATTTTCAACTCTGCTTGCAGACCAAATTTCAATGATCATCAAATAATTCCCTATGAGGTAAATCTCTTTGAGTAAAATATCCAGTGCAATATCTTCCTAACTAATGACTCTACACCCTACAAAACACACACATACACAAACACAGTGTCATCAGTTTGTAATAATTCACACTGAGAACAAAAGCAATAATGCTAACTATTCAAAACTGCAGATAAAGCAAAAAAAAAAAAAAAAGTCATATTTGATTCTGGAAACATTATCTGGGAGATGGGGTGGATTATTATATGACAACAAAGTGACCTTTCCACTTAAGGTTTTTCTTGTGTGATTGCAATATTTGCTTTTCCAGGCCTGTACACATCTACTCACTCCACAAACAATGGAAAGGGAATACCCACTTCAGATCTGGAATTGAACTCACTCCCGTGGCTTCCAGCCAAACAGCAGACAAGCATATAGGGTGAATATTTACACCAGGTACATATACTCCTTAGAACTCAATCATGGGAGAACAGAAGGGCAGTATTTGCACAGTGTGGTGGTTAAGGTTGTATATCAACTTGGCTAGGCCTGGATGAGTGGCTGGGCAGCTAGATGTAGTATTCCTCATGATGACACTGGTAATCAACTCCATGGTGGAATCTACTGTGAGCAGCTCAGTAGCTGCCTTTGGGTATGTAGTCTGTTTCCCGTGTATAAGAAACAGCTTTGCGAATGGTCTTGTAGCTTACGGCATGCTTGGACCCTTCATGTAGTCATGTCATTGTTCAGCAGCCTGCCATGCTCTGCTGACCTTGGGACTTACAATGGACTTGAATTAATGGTCTGCTGTGTGGTTTAGTAACATCGGGACTGCACCATTTTATTTGTTGACGTTGGGCTTGTTAGCCATAGCAGCCAGTAGCTGCCAGAGTGAAGAGATGCCTCGAGCTTCAGTGGGCCAAGAGCAAGAGGCAAAGCTGAAGCTCAAGGTTGAGGGGCTTTCATACAGCCCCTAGAGCCTGGAACTTTGTACTCGGACTTCTAGCCTCCAAACTAAGAAAATAAACTCCTGTTTGTAAAGGCCATCCACATTTGTGGTATATAGTCCTCTCAGAGTGGCAGTAGGTAACCAGAACACACAGCTAGATAACTCAGGGGGCAGGAATGCATAGGAAAGAACACAGGGAAGAGGTAACTACAGGGAGGAAGTGGGAAGAGAGCTGTTACATTATGGGGATTGTAGTCAATGTCATGAAACAAAATGTGCAAGAACTGTTGTATGAAAATTGAATTTGCTTTGTAAACTTTCACCCAAATCATAATTAAAAAAAAAAATTTTAAATGATTCTGAAAAGCCATATGAAAACAGATTCCCATTTCCAGTGGGTAAACCAGTACGAACACCTTCAACACTGTGTCCCCAACATGCACATCCTCACTGATTTCACACAAAAATCCAAATAATACCAGCGCCTTGTGCACAGCCTTTAAAAGAGGCTTAACTACGACAGTCAACTCTTTGGTTGCATGGAAGCAGCAGTGGAGACGTCGGAAGATGGGTTGCACTGGGCAAACGTGCTGCAAAAGACCTCTTTAAAGTGCTGAGGAGCAAAGATGTTCCTGGAAGACTAAGGTGCACTTAACCCAAGCCATGGTGTTTTCAATCACTTCATATGCATGTGAGAGCTGCACAATGAATAAGGGAGGCTGAAGAAGAGTTGATGCTTTTTAGTTATGTTGTTGAAGAAGAACATTGAAAGTACCATGGACTGCCAGAACTAACAGGTCTGTCCTGGAAGAAGTGCAGCCGGAATGCTCCTCAGAAGTGAGAATGGCCACACTTCATCTCACCTGCTTTGGTCATGCTGTCAGAAGGGACCATTCCCTGGAGAAGGATATCATGCTTGGTAAAGTGGGGGGTCAGTGAAAATGGGGAAGACCGACAGCGACATGGATTGATGCAGGGCTGCAATGATGGACTTGGGTATAGCACATACTGTGAGGCTAGCACAGGCCCAGGCAGTGTTTCGTTCTGTTGTTCATAAAATTGCTATAAGTTGGAGCCAATACAACAGCACCTAACAACGACAACAACATCTAAGCTAAAGATGAACAGAACTGTCTTACACCAGAATAGAGCAATTACATCTTTCATTTATTGGGGTCCTGTGTACTAGTGTATACCTCACAGGATTGTTATGGGAACACAATAAGCCAATACATCAAGTGTACTGCACACAGTACCTGGAATATATATACATATTTCACAAAATGTTCATTATTATTAATTAATGTGTTTGTCAGCAAAAGCTCCTCATATTCAGTCATACTGGGCATTCTACAAAATGCTTCCAAAAACAGTGTCATTTAATCTGCTCAACTGATAAGGGAAGTGGTTTTTATGACACCCATTTGACAATTGAAGAAGCTGAGACTCAGAAAGTTCTATGTGGTTTAAGGTGATAAACTAGAGCCTGGCAGACAAATCTTCGAGCTTTACATCCAAAGTGTTCTTTTTAGCACATGGCTCAGAGCCTCATGCTCTGAGAATGGCCCCAAGGGTGTTTCAATTCTCCTCCAGAGGAAATGTAGGTGGCGTAGTGCCTAAGGCATTTGACTGCTAACCAGAAGGCTGGTGGTTCAAATCCACCAGGCACTCCCAAGAAGACTGGGCAATCTACTTCCATAGAGATACTGCCTTGAAAACCCAAGGAGGGGCTCACTATGAGTCAGAACTGACTAAAAGGCAGTGAGGTGTTTCTTTTTTTTTTTTTTTTTAAATAAAACATGGTGCTAAAAACCAAACTCACTGTTATTAAGTCAATTCTGACTCATAGTGATCCCCACTGGGTTTCCAAGGCTGTAAATCTTTACAGAAGTAGACTGCCTCATCTTTCTTCCATGGAGCAGCTAGTGAGTTCCAATGACTGACCTTCTGGTTAGCAACCAAATGCCTTAACCACTACATCTCTAGAGCTCCCTCATTTCACTAAGATACAAGGTTGTTAGTGAAAGTGCTATCACCTCTTCCCTGTGGCTGGACCACAAAATGTCACAGCTGCAGCTTCAGAATCTCCTTAGCTCATTGGATCGTTACTTACCTTCGCCATCTCTGCTTCTGCGTGCAGTCGTTTGGGGGTTCCTTTTAGGTCTGGCACCTTCTGGATATTTTTGTTTTTAATGGACTGAGATTCAACACCTTCACCTTCAATTTGCAGTTTAATACCTTCGGCATGGGCAGGATGATTGATACCCCGTGGACTCAAACCGCAGTGGAGAGCTAGAAAAAAGGAAGAACTATAACTCAGAAATATTGTAGAAGACAGAAAACACTTCATCAGGCCTTAGCGGGGACAAACAAAGCAGATGCAAGTTGCAGTGGTGTGATCACTATGGGAAAGAATATGGTGAGAACGGAGCATGGTATAGTGGGAGACTCTGTGCTTTGAAGGTCAGAAAGGCTTAAGTGCAAATTCAGAAACCATCAGTTCCAAGTTGTTGAACTTTAAGCTAGTTGCTAATCCCCACTGACAGAGAGAATACCAAATCAGGCAACTTCATTACTGCCTCCCACATATACAATTATTTCAGCCCCTAGAGTTTAGCTTATATTCCTGTCTTCATCCGGCACATTGCTCCTTCCCTCCCTCCTTCTGAATCATCTCTATCCTTCAAGCATCCACTCAAGGCCACTCTTTCATTCATTCCATAAATACTGGTTAAGCACTTACTATGTGCTATTCCCAGGGTTAGGTCCTGGAAACATGGATTTACATAAGACAGATGCTACCTTCATAGAATTCACAATCTAACTGAACTCACCACCAGCCACTGCTCAGAAGGAAGGTTGGGCAATCTACTTCCATAGTGATACTGCCTCGGAAACCCAAGGAGGGGTCGCTATGAGTCGGGTCTGACTCGAAGGCACATAACAACAACAACATTGTTTGGCTGAAAGCTGAGCCATAGTTGTTGTTGTTATGTGCCTACTCATAGAGACCCCTCCTTGGGTTTCCGAGGCAGTATCACTATGGAAGTAGATTGCCCAACTTTCCTTCCAAGGAGTGGCTGGTAGGTGTATAAGAAGAACAGTAACACCAGGGAGGTATGTACTCCTTAGAGCAATCAACCATTTGAGATCAAAAGGGCAGCATGTGCCCAAGGACAAAGTTCAGAAGGAAAGAAGGGATGGGAAAGGAGAAGGAATGGAAATGGGAAACACAAGGAGGAGGTAGGAAGAGTGATGGATATTACGCTGGGGATTGCAGTCAATGGCAAGAAACAAAATGTATATAAATTATTGAACAGAAAACTGATTTGCTCTGTAAACCTTAACCCAAGTCATGATACAAAGTTTAAAAAAAAAATTCACAGTCTAATAAGAGAGACAGACAAAGGAACTAGTGATTTTAAAACATAGTTACTCAATGCTAAGAGGAAGGTAAGGAAACCAGAGTGGAAGTGTCCGTGGGGTCAAGCCCAGTGGCTTCTAATCGTTATATCTTATTCCTTCCACATTCTCTAACAAGGATACCCCCACAAGTTAAATCCTTTTTCTGAGAATATTTATTCACTCAACAAGTACTTACTTAGCCCCTCACATGCATCAGGTATTTATTGAAAAAGAAATAGCAGGAAATGTTATGCAAGCCAGGAGCTCTGGTGGCGTAGTGCCTAAGGCATTTGGCTGCTAACCAGAGGCTGGTGGTTCAAATCCACCAGCTACTCCTCGGAAGGAAGGTTGGGCAATCCGTTTCCGTAGCGATATCACCTCGGAAACCCAAAGAGGGATCGCTATGAGTTGGATCCGACTCGACAGTAGTGAATTTCGTTTTTTGGTTAGACCATTCTTAGGAGTCCTTGTTTGGTACAAATGATAAAGTGCTCAAGTACTAACCACAAGGTTGGTATTTCAAACCCACCCAGAGTCACCTCAGAAGACAGGTCTGATGATCTATTTTCAAAAGGTCACAGCCTACTGAAGTTTTACTCTGTAACACAAGGGGTAGCTAAGGGTTAAAATTGATGACAACTAACAACAGCCCTCTCTTATGGTCTTATGAGCTGCAGATAAGTAAAACTACTACTCAACATCAAAATTTCAATGCATCACAGATGTCTCAAACTTTAGCATGTTCAGAACTGAAACTTTGTCTTTCCACCAAAAAAAAAAAAAAAAAAAAAGTACGTGCCTTTTCTAGTCTTCATCAGCTACTCACACATAAGGCAAGGAGTCATCCTTGATATCACTCTCACGACGATTCACTATACCCCTTCCATCTATCATCAAGACCAGTAAGCTCTATCTCCCAGACACTGCTCAAATTCATCCCCTTTCTTCTATCTCTGCTGCTACTACCTCCTCCAAGCTAAACACATCTCTCATCCAGACTACTGAGCAGCTCAACTGGCCTCAGCTCTTCCTCACTTGATCCCTAAATTCCATGTTCTAAAAAGCTGACTCTTCTGCTTAAAACATCCAGTGGCTTCCTTCAGCATTTAGGTAACTCAGAAGTCTTCAACATGGCCAGGAATGTTTGCATTATCTGCCCCCTTACTCCTTTCCAACTTCATTTCCCAACATGTTATCCTTCGTTCACTACACTCTGGCCACTTCCTTCCTTTTTTGCCTTGAATCACCACGTTTTTTTCCTACCTCCTGGACTTTGATGCACACTGTTTCTTTGCCTGGAATGTTCCTCCCCATTCTTTGCCTCACTCCCATTCACTATCTAGGTTTCAGTTTAAATACCATTTCCTCAGATATACCTTTCTTTATGCCCCTTTCTTACCCCTACATTATTCCCACTTCATGGACCCAAGAAATACTGAATAATATACAAAACAAATTGCACAAGTTTCTGGATGCATGTAATCTCATGTCTATCATTTTCTATGGAAACTACCTGTGAATTTCTCTTCACCTAGACTCTAAACTTTCCACAACCAAGGACTAGCCTATTTAATGGTGCACAGCAGCACTCAATATGTATTCAATCATGTCTCATCCTCCAGGGTTTGTGTTGGGTCTCAAATAATCTTTATAAAAAACTCAGTAAGATATAATTATATTCATTTCCAAGATAAGGAAAATGAAGCTCAAAGGGTTATGGGTCACCAAAGATTATACAGGGTCTGGTCAATATCACATATCATGCATTATTTAGAATGCACACAATTTCAAGTTATAAATGAGCAAACCCAGGCTAACCAGTAAAGAAAATTATTAGCTTTTATAACAGGAAATCTAGTAATAGTACAGGCTCAGAGATAGTTGATTTGGCAACTCAACAGTCACTCATCATGTACTAATTCTTTTCGTCTTTCAATTCTGCTGTTCATAGCATCAGTTTTTTCCTACACCTAGGTCCTCTTGTAGCAACTATAGCTACAGTCTCCTGGTTCTTACCCAGCAACAGAGAGCTCCTGGCTGACCATGGTTCTCTTTCCTCCAGTCCTTCTTCCAATTTTCCTCTCCCCTCATTGGCCAGAAGTCACATGCCAATTACTGAACTAAGACCCTAGATGTGGAAATAGGGTTACCCTTTGATTAAATGGCCTTCAGCCAAGGTCAATTTCCCAAACTACATTGCTGCTACTCCACAGCACAGGGACAGAATAGGTAATGGGGAATCAACGACAATGCCCCATTTCAGGTAGTGGAGAAATTAACAGTCAAAATCTGTCAAAGCTAATTATCGTTATTGATATCAATCACCTCCTTCACTGTATTGCCCATATCTATCTAACTGATGGAATCTCTGGATGGTGCAAATGGTGGCTAACAGAAAGTATGGAGGTTTGATCCACCCGGAGGCATCTAGAAAGAAAGACCTGGCAATCTACTTTCAAAAACTCAGATACTGAAAACAGTAGAGTAAAATTCTACTTACACACGTGGAGTCTCCATGAGTTGGAAATGACTTCAAGGTAACTGGTTTTGGGTCTGGTTCCTAATGATATTTCTGCCTTTCCTACCACTACCACTGTAGGTAGCTACCAATTCTAAACTCCTTGAAGGAAGATTCCATTCTTTATTTGTCTCCATAGTATGCACCTCCTACTCCAGAACCCGGCACACAATAAGCATTCAAGAAACATTTGTTCAGCTTCTGAATGAACCAGAAATTGCCTGTCTTTAAAACAGCATGCCTTGAATCAAAGGAAACTTTTCTCTGCTAGTAAATACTTTGTGTTCAAAATGAAAAACGTCTATAAACATGAGGTAGAAAAAAGTTGTTTTGACTTGCTATACACGTAGGCTTTTTCTTCACACAAATATTTTAATCCTCCATAGCTGTTCCTTCCTTGACTGCAAACCAAGCAGTTGATTTAGGTTTGGGCACTTAGGCCTCTCTTTTTCAAACCAATTCTGACAGGCTTTGCTTTCTTTTTCTGGAAATTTTTGGTCCCTAATATTTATGAATCAAGCAACTTTCCAATAGCCTTGTACAAGCTATGACCTCCATCTCTTTGCTCATCATGTAAAAGGTGTCCTGTTTGCTTTCTGTTCACTGTCCTTGTCACTACCCTTTCCTGTTTTCACTAAAGCTATTTACTCAACTTAATGGGCTCAGAAGCTCATGGGTCAGCCTTGGGACCCTGTTCACGTTTCCCTGATCTTCACGACCACTCCTATGCCTACAGACTTCTAGTTATTGAATTGAAATGCAGTATGCTGGTGGTATTTACCTGAAGGGCTGCCACGTTCATTTCTATTTAATTTTAATGTCATTAATATTGAATTCTTCAAAAGGAAGAATTAAACAACAAAACAGATTTCAGAAATACTGCTCCTTTAAAGTTTTTACAGGTACATTTTTTCACTGAAAATGCTCAAAGTTTAGCATTGGCCCGGGATGCCATTTTGAAAGCACCATCTTTTTTGCCCACCACTCATCTGTCACTTCGTCATACAGCTTGTGTGTTCCTGTGAGCCTGGAAGCTATGCCACCAGTATTTCAAATACCAGCAGGGTCACCCATTGTACACAGGTTTCAGTAGAGCTTCCAGACTAAGACAGAGTTGGAAGAAGGAAGGGGTCATCCACTTCTCAAAGAATTGGCCAGTGAAAACTTTATGAATAGCAGTGAAACACTGTGTGATTTATTACCAGAAAATTTTATGAACAGCCCTGACACATTGTCTGATATAGTGCTGGAAGATGAGCCCCTCAGGTTGGAAGGTACTCAAAATACAACTGGGGAAGAGCTGCTTCCTCAGCGTAGAGCTGACCTTAATGATATGGATGGAGTAAAGCTTTCAGGTCCTCTGTTTGCT